AATAAAAAGAGGATTTAGGGGAAACCATGAGAAGCTGCAGAAAGGAGCTAGGCTGTTGCGTGCAATTTCCACCTACTGAGTCATTCCACTCTTTAGCACAGCTAATGTCACATGACCTAAAATAATTGAAAATGTGAGCACCTTCTATAACATTAACTATTTTAAATGGCCATAATCCTATCACCACAAATCCACTAAAATCTAAGAAAAATCCATTTTCACAGCAATTTGTTTTCGGTTTACTCCTCACATTCATACTGGGGGTGGGGGAGGGTCTATACTATCACTCCAAGTATATTAAACACATTACATACATCTGATTCATGTGTGAGAAATGACTTACGTCTTTCTAAAAGGTATAAACAAAAAGCATAAACAATTTATATCATCATAACCGGCAGGAATTGTTCAAAAGGCCTTTGGGCTTAGGATGTTGGCGTGCCTCTGAGGCTGCTATCAGAAGGTTCAGCCCTGGGCTTTGGCAGAGCCACTGCCATGTTAATCTGCTTCATTACATCTCCACAATTTGTTCACTGCATTAAGGAACAGTATTTCCCTTGAGAGAGCAAGAACCATCCTTCACTTTGAAAGCTTTACCTTCAAAAGGTAAACAAATATAGCCATAGATGGACAATAATGACTAGGAAGCCAAAAAAATGGTAAAATACAGTATGTCATAGTCAGAGCTCATTTTGGCCTAGGAAGATTTTTAAATGCACAACAGCTAAAATTAGAGCTTTTGAATCTTTTAGATCTGAATACAAGCTTACAAAGCACACATCTTGTCTTAAATGTCACTATTAACATAGATAACGATTCATTGATAGATCAAAGATAGAATCATGCTGGCTTACCTGAAATAAAGAGAACTGTAAATCATAGCACAGAATCCATTTACGTGTTGAATCTAATAGTCTCCAACACGATCCTTCAGAATATTTACTAGAGGAGAAAGTAATATCTCACATATGTTCTGTCCTCATTAAAAAAAAACAAAAACAAGAAAGGATGACCGCAGCATCCTCTCTGCTTCTGCCTTAGCTTTCTGTTCTGACACTCACTCGATGGTACCCACTGTCTGTTAGAAAACAGCATGCTAAATTGAAAAAATAAATAAATAAATTCAAGACAGCATCTTACATGATAGCTCCATCTCCTGGCCAAAAGTGGAACCATTTTAATTCAAGTGCATTTGGCAATGCAGCAGTTAGCAAGTATGATTAAATGGTATACAGCACATCATTCCACTGTACTTGAAATCAACTACCTTAATTAAATGTAAGTTAAACATTTAAAAAAACATTATAGCATGGATTTTAAAAACTTTAATTCTGCTTTGGGGGCTTAAATGCATTTACATTATGTTTAAATTATTCTTATCTTACATTTTATTTAATTTGTTGTCCAATTTGAAAAAGCAGTATGTATCTCCCACGAAATAATTTTAGATGTCAAACTTGTTGTTAATGGACACCTCTTTGTGGAAAAGTATAAGTTTTATTACTGGAGAAATTAACACATAACACATTGTGTTATCATTGTTGCTTTTTAGGGGAATGCTGTAGGGTTAAAGTTGATGTAGGATGATATACCTGAAAATCTACACTTAATCCAAGCTTTATAAACCATTTCAAAAATACAGATGTCAAATAACATGCTATATGAAATTTGATAATTGTAGCATATTATAGTGTATAACTCTATATTATTTGAAAGTAAGAGCAAAATAGCAAAATTAAATTGTTAAAAGAATCCTTTTGGTAAATTACACCATCTATAAAACAAAAGTTTTACAGAGCATATCATGTGTTCAATATATATTTGTTTAATTAATTTTTATGGTCAGTTTTGAAGCCCATGTCTATTTTTTAAATTTTAAAGGAAAAGGGCATTTTTCTCACATTTTTTTATAATATCATTTAAATTTGGGGGCAGGTATATGAACTAAAATTCTCCCTACTGAAGTTTTTTGTTATGGCAAGCCTTCAATTCCCGACAGCAGTAACGCTGTCCGTGGTGCTGAAAACCAATTCCAAAACTCACAGAGTGTTCCAGGTCTTAAACTGGTCTGAAATATTGTCTTTGTAAGATTTGACATAAATTTTACTTATAGAAGTCCTAGATAAGACATATCAAGTGATAGTATCTAATGTGCAAGAAGTTTAATAGTATTTTATTATTACCACAAAGTATGTGTATATACATGTCACCAGAAGCTATAATATTGATGAATCTATTTCATAAAAATACAATTGCAAGCCACACTTTCATTTAGCAAGTAGCCAAAGTTCTAGTACATAGATCATTCTAGCATTATGTTGTGCCCCCATTATAAAATAGACGAGAAAAACCACAGCCCACTCTTCAGTAACTTATCCAGAGTTAATTAATAAGCAAGTCAGAAGAACAAAGTTGATTCCTTAAATTTTACCTTACTTCTGTTTCTAAAATATCATTATGATATATTTGTATTGTTTTTAAAATATACTATTAAGACTGTACAAATAAATAATTAAGGTGACACATTAAGTACACCTTAATGTGTACACTTGACTACTTTGTCTCATAAGCTTTTTGCACTGACATAAGACACTGTTCTAACTCTGAGAGCACATAAATTATGATGATTTTTCCCAAATTTTCCACCAAATCACTCTTGATAGCCAATAGCCTTGAACTCACAAGATTAAAGCCTAAGATGCCACAAACATGAAATATCATTGAAGCTTCACTTTATCTTTAAAACCATGGGAATTTTACAATGATTTATGTAATATTTAAATGTTTTTCTTAATATGATAATTATTTCTTCCACAATCTTGAGGGTAAATTTTACTCTTCAGGAAGATATTCCTAACTTATCCTGGGATTTTTGTGTTGCTCTAGGCATGCCACCCTATGCTCCTAGGGATACAATATCCCAGTTTGAGGACCATCAGGTTATGTGACACAGCAACCAAGTAATTCTATTAAACCTGAAGTCATAACACATATTACTCTTTTCAAAAATTTCCAGTGGCTCCTCATCTTCCTCAGCATAAAGCCAAAGCCTGCCCAAATGCTCACCCTGTTCTGCACAATCTGGTCCCCTTTACTTCTCTTATGTTATTCTTGCCCTTACTCACTTTAGCTTTTCTGTCTTCTTTTTAGTTACTCAAATACAGCAGATATGCTCCCTCTTCAGGAGGTGTCTACCTTTTAATCTTTTTGCCTGGAATGCTCTTACATGAGCTCCTTATGGCTCACTTTCCTCATTCGGGTCATGGTTTAGAGCCGCCTCCACAGTGGGGCTGGCCTAGCCCCCAGTACCACACCCTACCTCCTCCTCTGATTTTCTCCCTGTGGTATTAATCTGACAAACTTAGCTGACATGTTTTGTTTATTGTCTGACTTCTCCAAGGAAAATATAAATTTGACAAAGACAGAGATGTTTTCCTGCTTGGTCACTGCTATAAATGTCATTCATAATATAGTACCTGAAACAGAAATGCTGACCAAATAATAAATAAATGTCCTAGATGTAGAAAATGAATATCATTTTTATTAATCCATCATGATAATACTATTATTTTTGTGTGTGAATTCCTATGTTCTCATTATCGTATGTGTCATAGAGTGTGAAATTAATATTCTTTGATTAAACTATCTAAACTATGTTTAGATCTTATACGTAAGCAGAATCTGGACATATAGTGGGTATTCAATAAATATATTGGGTTAATGATGCCAATGTTAAAATTAGAGCCCTTGAGTTGTTTTTAAAGGAGTTCTGACAAAATTTTGGTAAAATATTACTGAACAACTCTTTTTTCATGTTAGCACTTTTTTCCAGGGCAAACAGATTTTGACTTGATTATGGTAATTCTGTTTTTATGAAAAATTATTTACTCTCATCTAGAATATTTAAACTGTTCTAAAACAAGTTGTAATATTTTTTCTGAAATTAACCTGAGTTAGGCATTCATTTGACTAGCAACAGCAAATCAATGACACATAATTTCTCAGTGATGTATCTCTCGGGCACTGCTTTAATCATAAAATCTACACTTTTATTTCGGCAGCTTAATTTTCAAAATTATCTTAATTTTTAGAGATAAAAGCAAGTAAGCCTTATTTCACCTCTATTAAGTTACAGACATTGATCATGATTTAATTTTGCTATTTTTTACTGTTTCTCAGCCAACCAATCTTTTTATCACCTATCTCATTCAGGAAATAAAGGAAAACTAAGAATCTGGGTTATACCTAATATTTATTTATATTTTTCTTGCATCATTTCTTTCTGTATTAAATATCTGCATATAAGTAATGCAAATGTACAGACATTTGAAAAGGACAATTTCATTTTTACAGTTTTAGTTACTACTTTTAAATTATTGGTTACCACCTTCAGGACGATTTTAAAAAGTTGAACTCCACATCTAATGTTTCTCATGTAGCTTTATCATTAGAGCATCACAGACCTTAAAGCTAGAAAAGGCAGATTTTTGTGCCATGTTAAAAAATTGCCAATACTGATGAGAAGGATAGGTTATCACGCCAGTTCCAATTAGCATGAATTATTAATATTTAATAGCATGTTATCAAAAGACGGATAAAGAAACAAAGGATAGATAGACATTACACTGGCAAAAGCTTATCATTTCCATAAACAAAGTCTGACAAACAGAATGTTTCCCATAATTCGTTGAGAAAAGAGGTGTTACAAATGTTAGCAATAGATCACATTTACTGAACACTTTTTATGTGCCATGCAGTGTGATAAGCACTTTGCATAAACTATCTCATTAAATTCCCAACAAGACTGTGAAGTAGGCTTTTATTTTTTCTTTCTTAGAGATGAGGAAAATAAAGCCCAAAGTCCCTCGTCTAATAAAATATATTTTGCAACTCAGACCTCTGTTCTCAATGCTCAGGTTCTATTTGAGCTCCACTTGAGATCCCGGAGATATAAGCCCTGAAGAAATTATTCCAGTGACTTTTAGAATTTACGTGCTTTTTTGTTTTCTGCTCCATTTGTTCACCAACTATGTGACTCAAAAAGGTAAGACGGAAGTGGAAGAGAGGGATGGTCTTTAGAAGTACCTCTTCACTGTGGCATTTCGGAGCAGACGATGTGTTTGCAATGGGTGGAAAGATTAACACAGGAAGAGAAACAAAAGGAGCTGGAGTGATTAAGGAAGATATATTAGCTATATTGTCAAGAAGCTAATGAGTGAGAGAAGAGGGCAGAGTGGTGCAAAGAGAATCACAGGACCCCTAGAACTCTGCCAGAGGCACTTCTTTTTCCAGGAGATGACTCTCTGAAAACAAGCAGAATTCCATGATCAGCTGAGTAAAGAGGAGTTCTCACACTTGCCTCAAGTCTCACAGTATCCTGTTACTGATACCAGAAATACACTGATTTCTGGCTGGTGGATCCCTACTAAGGGTAACTGAATTTGTCTTGACATCGCTAATCAGGAGATGTGCCTTTACCCTGCAGTAAATAGCTCAATATTGCAAGATGAAGAACCACTGAGACAAATTGATACACCCTGAGGCCTATGCAAAATATGGTCACTAGGCATCCACAAAAATTCCCCTGACAGGTGGAGGACTGATCATAAACTCTAATCCCTTTTTAATGGTTCTTATGGTATCCATTTCATAGTGTTTAATTTCTCCAAACTTATCATCATTATTGCTAATAATAGTAATTATCAGCTAAAAAAACTTGATCAAAAAATTGCATTGGGTAAATTCCTAATTTTACTTTCTGACAATTTACACCTCTCACTAAGGTAGAAAACACCAAATGGAGAATGACAATCCTGTTGTTAATTTAGCCCAAAAAAGAATTTTAGGAGGAGCTCCTTGGGCTGAGTTATGGGAAAGAGTGGAGAGAGTACAGATGATTAGAATCCAGAAGGCTGCACTGAGCAGGGAACCCTGCTGCCCACCTATAAGAAGTGTGAAGGCTGAATCAAGAAAGGCCAAAACAGAAGTCTTAATTATCAGAAGCATCCCCTTATTGGATTTTTTGCACTGTAACAAGGTACAGGGACCATGGCCATATGAGAAAATTTCAGCATGGTAAATGAGAAAACTCACCT